CTTTTTATTTTAATTTGCTTGGAATAAAAACCGGTGTCTTCACCTATCACACCAGTGACCCCAGTATCCCCCCCACACTGTTCCCAGTCACCCCGGTACTGCCCATAACAGTCCCAGACACCCCATTGCCTGGAAGGTCCCCGTTACCTCAGTATCCCCACACCACTCCCAGCGACCCCAGTACCCCCCCACTGCTTCCAGCGCCCACCCCCAACCAGCAGCACACTCAGCCCCAGCACTGTCACCCCTGCAGTCTGACACACTCCATTTGGGTTCATACTGGGACACTAGGCTTACTGGGAGCAGTGTGGAGCTGCACCGGGGCCATCAGAACTCTGGGGTGACTACTGGCATCATAGGGACCCCCTGCTTGGGTAGGTACTGGGGTCACTGGGAGCACTGCGGACGTACCGGAGTGACTGGGAACTCCCCTTGTGTGGGTAATGGGGTGACTGGGACCATTATGGACTGTACTGGGATTACTGGTAGCAGCGTAGGGGGAGCACTGGAGTCACTGAGATTCTGGTGTGACTTCGTGGTGTCCTGGGGACCCCCTGCTTGGGTGACTGGGACCGTTATGAGCCGTCCTGGGATGGATGTGGTGCCTCAGGGCAGTGTGGTGGTTCTGGGGGTGACTGGACTGTTATGGGCAGTACTGGGGTCACTGGGAGAAGTGTGGGGGCAGCACTGGTGTGACAGGGAGTAGTGTGGGCGTGGTAGTGGGATCACCGGCAGAAGTGTGGGGACACTGGGGTCACTGGGGGCGGTACGAGCAGCACCGGTGTGACCGGGAGCAGCGCGGGGACAGCACCATTCCAACTGTACCCCCTTCTCCCATCTGCCCTCCTCTCCCGCATCACCCCCCACCCCTTCCCCGCCCAGGAGGCGGCTCCGTGCGGGGCGGGAGGGGGTCACGGTCCCCCGCCCGGTCCCTCCCAGTCCCTCCCTCCGTCCCCGCGGCCCATCCTCCGCCGGCGGGGCGGGCCGGTCCGGGCGGTGTGTCGGGCCGGTCCGGGCGGTCTGTCCCGGGGTCTGTCCCGGGGTCTGTCCCGCGGTCCGTGCCGGGCCATGGCGGAGCCCCCGCGGGGTGCGGGGCCGGCGCTGGCGCTGCGGGCTCGGCTCAGCTTCGCGTGCGGGCACTTCCTGAACGACTCGTGCTCCGCGCTGTGGTTCACCTACCTGCTGCCCTTCCTGCACGCCGTGCTGGGCTACGGGCACGGCGCGGCCGGGGCGCTGCTGCTGGCCGGCCAGGCGGCCGACGGGTTCTGCACGCCCCTGCTCGGCTTCGAGGCCGACCGGGCCCGCGGCTGCGGCCGCTGCGGGAGGAGGAAGGGCTGGCACCTGGCCGGTGGGTGCGGGGCACGGCGGGGGACGGGGGGGATGTGGCCCCTGGAGGGTGCAGAGCACGGGGCGGGGGGCTGAAGGGAGCAGAGCGGGCTCTGGCGGACGGGGGTGGCCCCGGGAGGATCGCTCTAAGGGGATAGGGGTGAGCCGGGAAGCCTTTCCGGGCTGTCCAGTTTGGGGGACGTCCAGCAGAGCCTCTCCGGGGTGGTCTGAGTGGAGGTGTCCCAGAGGGATCTGTCTAGGATGCTCTGAAGTGGAAAGGGATGGCCCCAGGGAAGTGTTTCTGGGGTGCCCTGGGTGGAGATGGGTGGCCCTTGGGGGAGTGTTTTGGGGTGTGTTTGTTGGGGGACATCCAGGGGAGCCTTTCTGGGATTCCCCACGTGGAGAGTGGGGTGCCCGGGGTGGAGAGAGGAGACCCTCGGGGGGCCTTTGCTGGGGTGCCTTGAGTGGGGGAGGCTCTACTGAGGTGCCCTGGGTGGAAAGGGGTGGCCCTGGGGAGCCTTTCTAGGGTGTCTGGATTGAGGGACATGCAGGGGAGCCTTTCTGGGATGCTCTAAGTGGAAAGGAATGCCTCCAGGAGAACCTTTCCTGGGGTGTCCAGGGTGGATGGGGTGACCTGGGAAGCCTTTCTAGCGTGTCTGTGTTGGGGGACATCCAGGAGAGTGTTTCTGGGATGCTCTGAGTGGAAGGGAATGGCCCCAGGGGAGCCTTTTTGGGGTGCCCTGGGCAAGTGGACTGAGGGTAGCTATCCAAGGTGCCCTGGCTGGAGATGGGGGGCTCCAGAGGTGCCTTTCTGAGGTGTCTGAGATGGGGGACATGCTCTAAGTGGAGAGGGATGGCCCCGGGACAGCTTTCTGGGGTGCCCTGGGTGGAGATGTGTGGCCCAGGGTGCATGTTTTGGGGTGTGTTTGTTGGGAGACAGCCAGGGGAGCCTTTCTCGGATCCTCTGAGTGGAGAGGAATGGCCCAGAGGGAGTCTTTCTGGGGGGCTCTGAGTGAAGAGGGATGACCCTAGGGTGCTCTGTGGTGGAGGACACCCAAGGGAGCCTTTCTGAGATGGGGTGAGAGTCATGTGCTCAGCCCTCAGAGCAAAACCAGGCCTGGCAGTAAAACCTGGGCTCGCCCAGGAGCCCCAGGTGTTTCCTGGACAGCTCTCTGTGTACCCAGGGATAGCTCTGGGGGCCCTGGGCTGTGCTGGGTGGGCACCCCCTGGGCTGGCAGTGGGGGTCCAGCCCGTGGGAGGCACAGGAGGCACCAGCTCACAGGAATCACTGATGGGGGTCTTGGCTCGCCTTGTGCCCTGGGGTCAAAAAATGCAGCGGAGTGCAGGGGCTGGTGGGGACCCATGTGTTAGGGATCCTCTTTGAGGGGACAGCGTGGCCTGGAGGGGTGTCCTTGGTCCCTCTCTTAGGGGGCAGGGTGGCCTGGAGGGGGGTCTTTGGTGCTGTGAGGGGTGCAGGAGCCTGAGGACAGGGCAGTTGGTGGTCGTGCTCAGTAACACAGGGCACTCACTACCCGAGCAGAGGGAGGACGGTTGCAGTGTGGGTCCTCTTATCTTGATCCCAAATTTATCTTGACCAACCGCTTTGTGCAACCCAACGGGCAGCTTGATAAGGCGGCCGAGCTCCCTGGAGTTCGCCTGGGGAGTCAGGGAGGGTGTTGGGGGAGCGGCTTCGCCCCTGCCCCGATGTAAGCCAGATCTGCGCCCCAGATTAAGGGAAGTGGCCGGAGCTGTGCCCCCAACCCCCTCCAGCTGGCTGCTGCCCAGCGCGCACGGAGGGGAAGTTCAGACTCAGGCTTTGCAGGGAGGCTGTGGCCGCCCCCAGCACCCTAATCCTGGGAGCAAAGCACCCTGCTCAGCGCAGGGCAGGCTGGAGCAGGGATGGAAGCTGAAAGCAGGGAGGGAGGCTGGAGCAGGGACCGAGCTGTTTCCTAGACCAGAGCGTGGGTTATTCCCGAGGTGGGAGCTCCATCCGCCTCCTCCGCCCGCGGGGTGAGCGGCGGTGCCGGCAAAACCGCCGGGACCGCGCGGCTCCCTCGGTCACCCTGCGGCGGGGGATGCTGTGTGGGAGCGGGGGTGTCTCGTCCGGTGGCAAACCCGTGCTGAGATCAGAGGAAGCGTTGTGAAACCACAGCCTCGGGGCGGAGGAGACACCACGAGTTGCTATCAGTGGCATCTCCCCGCCGCGGGGTGTCCCCGCCGGCGGTCCCTGCCTGCTCTGTTGTGGGGTCCAGCTTCCTGCCGCAGGTGCCCCTGCCTGGCATTCCCGTGATCCTGCCCCGCGGGGCTGCAGATGAGAGCCCAGCACTCTGCCTGCATTCAGGGATGGGCAGGGTGGGCTCTGCAAGTCCGAGGGGGCCACAAAGAGGAGGGGGTGACGCTCCTGTGCGCGTGTGATGGTGGCAGTGGCTCGGGGGTGGGTACAGGGGCAGCCGTGGAAGCTGCAGCAGCTGAGGGACCCCCAGCTCCTGTCCCAGTGCTCCCCTGGGATCGAGGGAATGGTCTGCACAGCCCTTGAGGGGCTGCAGAGCCTGACCCTGCAGGGCCCTGGAAATCCCATGGCCCAGCTGAGCTCGGTTCAAACCAACAGCCCCATCCAAGGGCTGGGCTGGTTTGAATCTCCTTGCACCTTCCTGTGCCTGTGGCTTGTGTGGGGCAGAGGCACCACGTGTGCCCGAGCCCCCCACCCTTTGGGAGCTCCTGGGGCACCAGAGCTGGCTGTGAGCACCCAGCTGCCCCTCTGAGCCTGGCTGGGGTGGATAGGGCTGGGCTGGGATTGTCACTGCTGCCCCTGGCTCAGGGAGAACCGCTTTGCCCCGGCCCTGCATTGTCCTGTGGGAGTGAGGAGGAGGAACTGCCCTTCACGGGTGAGAACAACAGGCACCACTCGTGAGAAAGAGGAGGGTCTCGCAAAGTCCCTTGGAGAGGGGACCTTGGGGACCTGGCAAAGCGGCTGCAGGTTCCCCTCAGCTGTAGGAACAGGTTGCCATGGCCCTTCAAGAGCACCCAGTGTGGCCAGGGACACAGGGGACAGGGCATGGGGCTGGCTCTGCACTGGGGTCTGGGGGGGTCATGGAGCCACTTGGCAGACCAGCTCCATACCTTTGGGGAGGGGAGGGAGAGGCCAGGCCGCCTGCCTGCCCCACGCAGGGTCCCCACGCAGTGTCCCCACACAGAGTCTCCACAGGCAGCGTCCCCACGCAGCGTCCCACGCTGTCCTGCTGCAGCAGCAGGAGGAGCCTGGCTCTGCTGTCCCTGACTCAGCAGGGTTTTCCCATGGCTCAGGGTTTTCCCATGGCTCAGAGCCCCCCGTGGCTCAGCATCACCCATCACACTGTGGGTGACATCAGTGAGTGTGGCTGCCTGTGCCAGCCCCAGGGCAGAGGGGACATGGGGACAGCCCGTGGGACACCCTGAGCCCTCCTGGCCCTCGGGAGCCGTATCACCACGGGCAGGCAGCAGGGAGGGGTGTCCCTGGGCTGGTTATCTGCATCTGGGGACACTGTGGGTGTGACAGTGAGGGGCTGTCCTGAGGGGACAGAGCGGTGCCAGGTGCTGCTGTGCTGGGGAGGGACCTGGACTGGGGAGTGACTGTCCATGCTGGGTGAGACAGGGAAAACATTCCCTGTGCAGGATTGAGGGGGTTTCTGGGGCTCCACGTGTGTCACCTGGCTGGGAAAAGGGGCCCACCTCCCTTCCCAGCTCTGGGGTGGAACCTGTCCTGGGGAGGAACAGCGTCACTCTGGCCATGTCTGAGCCACTGGATGTGCAGCCTCTCACTGCTCCACTCTCTCCTCAGGCACCACCTGCGTCCTCGTGTCCTTCCCCTTCGTGTTCAGCCCCTGCCTGGCCTGCAGGGAGGGCACTCCACAGTGGGCAGCCTTCATCTACTACCTCCCCTTCATCGTCATCTTCCAGTTTGGCTGGGCAGCCACGCAGGTGTCCCACCTGGCCCTCATCCCCGAGCTGGTGAGCAGTGACCATGAGAAGGTGGAGCTCACGGCTTTCAGGTGAGCACAAACACACCTGGGGGTCCCCTGGGTGCGGGGGAGCTGCCCTGCCCACCCCAGGTCCCATTGCTGTGTGACAGGAGGTCCCTGGGTGCTGTGGCACATCAGAGGCCTCGGCATGGCAGGACCAGGGCTGGGCCACGTGGGGGTCCTGGGGGATGTGCCAGGGGACACTGGTGTCCTGGGTTGGTGGCTCAAACCCTTTGGTGCCAGGAGGGTTGTTGATGCCGGGGATGTTGGTGACACGGCCCGTGGGACACTTCTTTGGGACTGGTGCCCACAGGGCAGGGACTGTGCCCCCCTGAATGCCCCTGGGGAGAGCTGGGCATGACCCAGAGATGGGATGTCCCCAGGGATAGGTGAGCAGTGCTCCCTGCGTGGAACCACTCCTCAGGCAGGATCGGGATGTGGGATGGGCTGTTTGTCCCACAGGGTGAGCAGGAGGTTGTGGGGCAGCACTGGGATAACCCCGGGGTCCAGCTCTGGGGGCACTAGGTCAGGCAGCTCGTGACATCCTCAGGGGGCTGTGGCTGGAAGGTGACAGGCTGACCCAGAGGGATCTTGGTTTCCTCCCAGTTGTGCCCCGAGGGTTGGACTGGGCGTGCTGGGAGTGGCACCAGTAAGGCTGGGCAGGTGCTTCATGCCCTTGGAGGTGTCACCTCAGCCACAGCACCACAGTGCAGAGGCTGTAGCACAGCAATGGGCTGAGATGTCCCACTGTGCTGGCCCCGTGCTTGTCCCTCCACATCCCCCTGAGGTTCCCTTCCCCCTCAGGTATGCCTTCACCGTCATGGCCAACATCACTGTGTACGGCCTGACCTGGCTCCTGCTCAACTTCCAGACCGACCAGCCTGACCACATGGAGCACCTGGGCCCCCAGGACGTCCCTGTGTTCCGGGTGAGTGGCAGGGCACAGTCCCTGGGCTTCCCTCTTCCCGTTGCTCAGATGGGGAGGTGAGAGGGCAGTGCCCTCACCTCCCTGACTACACTGGGCAAGGGCCACGCTGAGCCCTCCCTGGGGTTTTGGGAGCCCCTCCTTACCCTCCAGACTGCTGGGGGGCTGATAATGGGCTGCCCCTCCCCGCTGTGCTCACCCCCTCTGCCTCACCAGAACCTGGCCCTCATCGTGGTGGGGATGGGGGCCGTGTCCTCCCTCATCTTCCACCTGGGCACCAAGGAGAAGCCGAACCCGCCGGCTGTGCTGCCCGACCTGGACGAGACCACCCCCCTGATGCACAAGGAGCCCCTGAGGAGCCCGCTGATGCTCTGGAAGGACTGGCTGCTGGAGCCCTCCTTCTACCAGGTACGGCTGGGCAGGGCTCACCTGGCCCAGGGGCTCCTGCCTGGGCACCGTGGATGTGCCCAGGGGCGAGTGAGGGGGGAAGAGAGGGGCTGTGCTGGGCTGTGCCCTTCTGGGGGGGCACAGTGCTGTGACAGCAGGGCAGGAAGGTGCCTCCCCACAGGGCTGCCCTGTCCCTGTCCCCTCACAGGTGGCAGTGCTCTACATGGCCACCCGCCTCATCGTCAACCTGTCCCAGACCTACATCGCCATGTACTTGACCAACTCGCTGCTGCTCTCCAAGGTGGGCACAGGGCAGGTCCAGGGGTGCGTGGGCAGGGTCCTGGTGCCCAGAGATCATCTCCTCCCTGTCCCTTGCAGAAGTACATCGCCACCATCCCCCTGGTCATGTACGTCAGTGGGTTCCTCTCCTCCTTCCTCATGAAGCCTGTGAACAAGTGGATTGGTCGGAATGTGAGTCTGGGGGCACTGGAGAGGCTGCAGTTAGACCCCAGGAGGGGCCAGATTGTGGCTGTGGGCAGAGCACCTGGCACATCTGAGCTGGAGAGCAGGGACCCCTCCTGTACCCTCTGCCAGTAACCCCCACTGCACTGTGGGTCCCACTGGGGCTGGGGGTGGTGGGCAGATGTGGGGATGAGAGCCTGTCCTGCACATCCTGGGGCTGGGGAAGGCGATGCTGGTCCAGAGCCACCCTGTGTTGTGCAGCCCTGACCAGGCTGGAGAGCCCTGTGGTGCCTGAGATGGGCAGAGGGGGGGTCTGGCTGCACTGCCTTGGGTGGGCACAGGGTCTGCAGTGCCAGCAGTGTGTCCCCTCCATGCTGTTGGGTGCCAGTGAAGTGTCCCCTGCCCTCATGGACACCCTGCCCACAGCTCTCCCCAGGGCTCAGCTCTCTGGCTGCAGAACAGCCCAGACTATGGCAGGGTAATGCTCTTGGGGGCTCCTCGTTTAAATCCAGCTGGGACAGAGCCAGGGGCTGTCCCTCGTGGGTCCTGGGTAGTCCTGGCCCCTCTGCCCTCTCTGCTTGCCCCTGGTGCCGAGCTGGTGTCTGAACTCCCCCTTCTCCCTCTGCCCCTCCCTGTCCCAGCTGACCTACTTCGCGGGCATCCTGGTGGTCCTGGCCTTCGCCTCCTGGGTGGCCCTGGCCAGCCCCGTGGGGGCTGAGATCTACGGAGCGGCCGTGCTGCTGGGGGCTGGCTCTGCCACCATCCTGGTCACCTCCCTGTCCATGACCGCGGATCTCATCGGCACCAACACGGTAGGGCCGCTCCTGCCGGGGCGGGACCGGGGATGGCAGCAGTGAGCCTGTGCCTGGGCTGTGCTGCAGTGTGGGCTCTGCCCGTCAGAGGGCACAAGGCTCTGCCTGCTGGGGTTGTGTGGCTCGGCTCTCAGCTCAGCTCAGCTCAGCAGGGCAGCTGATGAGGTTCCCTCTCGTCCTGCAGCACAGCAGCGCGTTTGTCTACGGCGCCATGAGCTTCACGGACAAGATGGCCAATGGCCTGGCTGTGATGCTGATCCAGAACCTGCACCCCTGCCCGTGAGTGTCTCTGCAGGGCCAGGACCCCCCCCATCGCCTGGGGGCCAGGAGCAAACATCCCAAGGGCTGGAGCAACGGGCACGGGTGGGAACCAGCTCGGATTTTTAGAATCACAGGATGGTTTGGCTTGGAAGGAATCTTAGAACTCATCTCGTTCCACCGCCTGCCACGGGCAGGGACACCTTCCACCAGCCCAGGTTGTTCCAAGCCCCGTCCAACCTGGCCTTGCACACTTCCAGGGATCCAGGGGCGGCCACAGCTGCTCTGGGCAACCTGTGCCAGGGCCTGCCCACCCTCACAGCCAGGAATTCCTTCCCAGTATCCCATCTAACCCTGTCCTTTGGCAGTGGGAAGCCATTCCCCCTTGTCCTGTCCCTCCAGACCCTTGCCAAAAGTCCCTCTCCAGCTCTCTTGGAGAGAGAATACCAGAAGTACCTGAAGGTCTAAGGTCTCCCCAGAGCCCTCAGTTCTCCAGTTCTGATTTGTTCTAAACCTTTTCTCACATTCCCTCCTGGCCCTGGACAAGAGCCCAAGCTGTGCTCTGGGGATCTCAGTGTCTGGGTTGGCACCTTCTCTCCTTTCCCTCACATCCCAGTGTGAGCCAGTCCCGACTCCCAGCCGTGTCCCTGCCTGTTCCCACAGGACTGAGCTGTGCTGCGCCGCCTGCGTTGGCTTCTACCGCTGGGTGATGGTGCTGGTGACTGGCGGCATCGCCGTGGCCGCCGTGGCCACGCTCTGCTGCATCATGGTGTGGCCCATCCGCGTCCGCTACCGTGAGTGGGGCCGGGGGCTCGGGGGGCACGCGCAGGGCTGGGGGCACGGGGAGCCCCCGTGGCCAGTGCCAGCCTGGGCTAACGCCCAAGTGTCTTTGCAGATGGCCCCAGCTGTGATCACCCTGTTGGGACCGGGCTGGCTGCGGCCACGCTCGCAGGGGGACCCTCCTGGTAGGACGTGGGGAAGGGGCACTGTCCCGCTTCTGCTGCTGCCCCAGAGCCGGGGCTGTGTCTGCCTGCTGTGCCCTCCTGGGGGCAGAGCCTCCAGCCCGGCAGGACCCCCTGCCCAGCCCAGCCGCGGCCACACTGGAGCCCGGAGGGGCGGTGGGAGCAGCTCTGTGTGCTGGTAGCAAATGTGGGAGACATTTGGGAACACATGTGGGGCTGGGGCGGCCTCTGCCAGGCCAGGGACCCCAGCACCAGTGCTGCTGCCAGCTCGTTGCCAGTGCCTCGCTCTGGGGTGGGGGGACAGGACGGACCCCTTGTGCTGCTTGGGGATGTGCCAGGTGAGGCCCCTGGTGTCAGGAGAGTTCAGGGGCCAGGCCAGCATGTGCTGCCGTGGCTCCTGACCCGTCCCTTCCTCCTGCCCCTGCAGGTGCTGTCCGGCTGTGGGGGATGAGCAGACCTGGGACCCCCGACAGCAGAACTGAGAGCACTGAGGGAGGGGGCCAGAGCGGCACCATCAACTGAGCCGTGGGGCCACGTCCTCGGCCACCGTGTCCTCAGGGCCGTGTCCTCGGCCACCACATCCTCGGCCACCGCGGTGCCACACTCCGAGTCGGGAAGATCCCCCCGGCTGGGGGACACCAGGCTCTGGGGAGGGGAGGGACCGACCCCCGCCCTGTCTCCTTGCACTGGACTCGTGTCCCCACAGCCTGTCCCCCCGGGCCGATGAAGGATGTCCCCGGTGAGGGTGTCACCGGTGCGGGACATCACCGGCCACCCGCACACCCAACTCTGAAGGGCCCGGGCTGGGCTGGGGCAGCCCCAGCTCGGGAAGGGGGGGGCCAGCCCGAGGTTTTAACCTGCTTTTGTAAGGTCAGTACGTACAAACCGCACTTTATAAAGGAGGAGGAAAAGGAGAGGAAAACTCAACAACAGCAGCGCCGGCAGCCCTGGGCTGGGGGTGGGCTCGGCCCTGGGCTGGGGGTGGGCTCGGCTCTGGGCTGGGGTGGGCTCGGCCCTGGGCTGGGGGTGGGCTCGGCTCTTGGCTGGGGTGGTCTCGGCCCTGGGCTGGGGTGGGGCAGGAGCGGGTTTGGGGTTCGGGGGGTTCCCCAGCGCTGGCCCCGCGGGAAGGGGCTGCGGGGGGTGCAAAATGGCCGCCCTCACCAAACATGGCGGCGCGCCCGCACACAAAATGGCGGCGGCGGAGCGGCGCTGGAGACATACGATTGGCTGCTGGGTCGCTGTCCCGCCCCCCGGGGCGGAGCAACCAATGAAGGCGGACCTTGGGGCGGCGGGGGCGGGGCGTGCGTGTGGCGAGACACGCGAGTGTGTGCGCGTGCGCGCGTGTGCACATGTGTGTGCACATGTATGTTTGTGCGTGGTGTGTTCACATGTATGTTTGTGTGTGTCTGTGTGTGTGTGTGTGCCAGTACATGTGGGTGTATGTGTGTGCATGTGCTCCCGTGTGTGTCCGTGTGCCAGTACATGCGTGTGTATGTGCATGTGTGTGTGCCCATACACGTGTTCACGTGCCCACACGTGTGTGCAGGCATGTGCTGTGTGTGCACACTGCAAGAAGGGGGAGAGAGAGGGGGCCGTGCACAGACCCGTGGGATGGTTTGGGTTGTTCCACCCCCTGCCACGGGCAGGGACACCTTCCACCAGCCCAGGGTGCTCCAAGCCCCGTCCAACCTGGCCTTGGACACTTCCAGGGATCCAGGGGCAGCCACAGCTTCTCTGGGCAAACCTGTGCCAGGGCCTGCCCACCCTCACAGCCAACAATTCCATCACAATATCCCATCCAACCCTGCCCTCTGGCACTGGGAAGCCATTCCCTGTGTCCTGTCCCTCCATCCCTTGTCCCCAGTCCCTCTCCAGCTCTCCTAGAGCCCCTTTAGGCCCTGCAAGGGGCTCTCAGGTCTCCCCAGAGTGTTCCCTTCTCCAGGTGAACTCCCCCAGCTCTCCCAGCCTGGCTCCAGAGGTCCACACAGGTCCCCGTGCTGGGTGGACACCCCAGGGTGGGTCTGTCATGGAGTCACTGCCCAGAAGGACAGGGGGGGGGTGCTGTGTAGGGGGGTCGGTGTGTGCTCACCAGGACACGGTGTGGGTGTGAGTGGAGGGGGAGCAATTTGGGGAGGGGGCTGGGGGGGTGTGACAGGGTGTGCAGCCCCCCGGCCACGCTGTCACCTGCATCGGGCTGTCCCTGGTTTATGGTTTACGGCTGTTCCCGCAGGCGCCCGATTGTGGGAAGGGCGTTTCCAGCCCGGTCCAGAGAGCAGCGGCTGAGCCGGGCTGGGGCCCGTGGCCTTGGCACCTGCCCCAGTGCCCGAGGGGGTGACGGCCCGGCTCCGCATGGCCGGGGTGAGGGGCTGACCTGCCCCTCAGCACAGCCTGGGGCTGGGGGGGTCAGGGAGCGAGCTCCGGCCTGGCAATGCTGGGGAGTGCCACAGCATCGTGGGGCGTCCGTGGAATGGCAGAACGCCGTGGGACTGCAGGCTGTGCCGCTCCGGCTGTCAGCACTACCTGGGAGGGGGACGCATTTGCAGCTCGTTCTGGGGGCAGCTGAGACCCTCCCTACGCACACCCTGCCCCGAGGGCTGGGTCAGAGGTGCCTGCGGAGCTGCCACCCCACTCAGGGCAGTGCAGGGGACAGACAGGGGACAGGGAACAACCAGGGGACACCGAACAGAGGGGACACGGGGATACCGGGGGACACCGGACAGCTTGTGGAGATGGGACAACCAGCCCTGGGGATGCTCCCACCCCCTCCCCGGCCAAAGTCCTGCCCAGTGCCCCTTCCCACCGCCCCGGCTGCCCGTGGGGGTCTCACCCGCTGCCAGGGGGGTCCCGTGCACGACCCCTCGGTGCGCGGGGGCAGCGGGCAGGGTGGTGGGGCAAGTCCCGCAGCCCCCCCGGGAGCCGGGCTGGGGGTCACGCCACTCAACCCCGCGGTGCCCCGGGCTGGGGCTGCCCCGGCCGCTCCCTCCCAACCTGCCGCGGCCGCCCGGCCCCGCCCGCTGCCCTTCCTCGGGAGGAGGAGGAGGAGGAGGAGGAAAAGGAGGAGAAGGAGGTGGCAGCGGCCGCGGAGCAGGAACGGAGCTGGAAGGAGCGGGAGCGGGACAGCCCCGACGGGACGGGACGGGGCGGGACGGGGGTCCCGGTAGCGCCCACCGGCAGGTACCGAGCGGGGCGGGCACGGGGTGCCCGGGACGGGGCTCTGCGGCCGCGCGCGGGTCCGGGACCGGAGCCGCCTCCTCGTCCCCTCCGGAGCCAGCCCGGCCACACATCCCCCGCACCCAGCACCGGCCGTGGCCCAGGGCCGGCACCCCCCGCGCCGAGGGTCACAAACCCCCGGCACCTCCGGCTCCAGGTGTCACGACCCCCAGCAGCGCCCACTCCGGGGGTCACCAGCCCCATCTCACGCGGTCCCCGCTGCCCACGGGGGTCGCAGCCCGCACATGCCACCGTGGGGCGGGCCAGGGGCTCATGCCGGGTGGGCTCTGCCGTCGCGGTCCCAGCAGGGCCTGAGCCCCGTCCCCGTGTCCTCTCCGGCGGAGGGACAAGCTGGTGACACTGAGAGCTGCCGCGCTGCAGAGACAGACCGTGCCCACAACCTGCCCCCTCTCCGCCAGCCGTCGGGCCCGTCCCTCATGCCGGGGAAGCTGAGGCGCAGCGCCCGCGGGGTGCTGGGGGAGAAGCAGTGGCAGAGCCTGGAGGAGACGGGAAGCGCCCGGCTGGGGCAGCCCAAGCTCGCCAGGTGGGTGCTGCACCTCACAGGGTGTACCTGCACCTCACAGGGTGTACCTGCACCCCAGCCCCACCTCCCGCGCCCCCGCCGTCACCCCCACCTGCTGCTCTCTTCCAGATCCAGGACTTATGACCCCTCCTGCAAGGACACAGAGCAGTCGGCCACAGGCGGGCAGGGACCCCCATCGCCCTCGGTGAGTCTCGGGGTGCCGGCGCCGAGGAGGGGGACCCCCAACTCCGACCCCAGTGCCGTGGTCCCGGCCCGATGTTCTCTGAGGGCGGGGGTCGAGGGAGAGGGTAGAGGTGGTGACAGAGCAGGGGGGCTCTGGGATGCCCCTGGGATGACCCCGAGCACTCCTTCATGCCGGCCCCCCACCCCGACCTCCCGCAGCTGAGCAAGCGGGACAGCAGCTACCGCCGGGCCTTCGGGGAGCTCGCCGAGAGGGACGCGCTGCTGGGCTGCTTCTCGTGCGCCTGGCAGAGAGAGGTGCCCTACCACGGCCGCCTCTACGTGTCCTCCCGACACATCTTCTTCCACTCCAGCCTCCTGCTCAAGGACATCAAGGTGGGCTGGGGTTGGGTGCGGGGCTGTGGCGGGGCCACGGGTGGCAGAGGGGGACATGGTGACACTGGTGACACTGGTGACACTGCCTGTCCCCTCCGGCCCAGGCCGTGATCCCCGTCGCGTCCGTCTCAGCCCTCAAAAAGACCAACACGGCGCTGCTGGTTCCCAACGCGCTCAGCATCCGCACGGCCCAGGGGGAGAAGGTGAGAGCGGACGCGGTGCTGGGGGGCGGCTCCGCCCGGGGCTGTTTGGGGTGTCCCGGTCCCCGGGGGCCCGGGGCTGTGACCGAGGGAGCAGCTCCAGTGCAAAGCCCCTTCCCCCTCCCCGGCAGTTCCTCTTCGTGTCGCTGCGCCAGCGAGAGGCCACTTACCAGCTCCTGAGATCGGTCTGCAAACAGCTGCAGGTACGCGGGGGCTGGATGGGGGGGAGCTCCATCCATCCACTGCAGGGCACCTCTCTTCGTCTCTCCTTGTCCAGGACAGCGGCCGGAGCCCTCGGGACTCGGTGAGCAACGAGGGAACCCTTGGCAAATCTCTGGTAAGGCCGGGGAATGGCGAGCCTGCATCCAGGGGGACGCAGCAGAGGGAGGGGTGGTCCTAGTCCCAGCCCCCTGGCTGGGGTGGGCTGGGTGCAGTGGCCCCTGGGAAGGCTTCTGGCGGCAAGTGTGGAGTGGAAAAGCCTCAGCCCAGGGCAGTGCAGACCCCAGGAGCCCCAGAGCTCTGTCCTCATGAGTGTCATCGGGTCCTGCCCATGTCCCCGTGGCCGTGGGATGGGTGCCTTGGGGACACACATCATGTCTGGGGCTTGTCCTCCTCCAGAACTCGAGCCAGTCGGACCCGGAGCAGAGCACCCCGGAGCCCAACAGCCTCCACGAGTCCCTGGGTGAGCGGCCACCCTGGTGCACCCCCTGCATGCTCACAGCCCTGCTTGTGTCCTCATCCCTGTCCCTGTCCCTGTCCCTGCCCTGCTGGCAGCTCTGGGCTCTGCTCCCCCTCCCCGCACACACATGGTCTGGGGGGAACCACGCAGCCCTCAGCCCCCTGACCAGCATCTCCCCCAGCACCAGGGAGGGCAGGATTAGCTCTCTGTGGCTCTGTGTGCCCCTGGGACCCCCAGTCCCTCTCCCTGGGGCACTCATGAATGTCTCCTGGTCACCCGCAGATGAACCAAGCCCGAGGCCAAGGGAAGCAGAGGAGGAGGATGACAAGGTGGCCCTGCTGACTCCCAGCAGCAGAGAACTGGTGCCCGTGGCAGGGACACGCAGCCTCTGGGGTGGGTGTGGGGCTCAGGGAGGGAGGTGCTGCAGGACTTCAGCTCTGGCAGAGCCCACCGTGGGGTCTCAGAGGTGCTGACACTGCCTTGTCCTGGCAGGGGGGCCCCACACCGCGCTCTGGGCCTGGGCTGTTGCACTCCGGTCCCGGATGAACCTCCAGCTGAGCCTTCTCAACATCGTCATCATCATCTACCTGCTGCTGTGAGTGCCCAGAACCCGCTCACACGCCTGGGGGCTTCAGGACACCCCCAGTCCTCGTCCCCCTTGGCATCCCCGGGTTCCCCTACTCCCTCCTCGGGCACCTGTCCCCAGGGCGAGGGCTCCACACAGGAGCCTGGCTGTGGCACTGCTTGAGCCCTGTGCCCCCCCCGGGTGACACTGGCTGTCCCCCAGCATGGTGGCCTTGCTGGTGTCCTCGGGGTACATCGGGCTGCGCATCATGGATCTGGAGCAGCAGTTGGCGTTCGTGGGGGCTCGGCCACGCCTCAGCCTGCCACAGCAGTGAGTCACCAGGGGTGGGGGGCCCCCTGTGCCCGGCAGAGACCTCCCCCCTCCTCACCCTGCCTCCCCCTGCCCAGGTACAAGACAACGTGAGGCCAGAGAGGAATCACCAGTGCCCCAGACAGGGGACACAGGGGCTGCCCCAATCCCGTCCTCTGCCTCTCGGGGGGCTCCATCACCAAGTGCCTTCCAGCCTCCCCTGGTGCCTGGGAAGCCCAGAGGGGGTGTGGGGCTCCATCTCGCTCCCCCCGTGTCTCCCACCCTGAGCAGCAGCAGGAGGGAACTCAGGGAGTCCCAGTGGGAACAAAGAGCAGCACATGGGGAGGGGTTGGGGGACATCCCACCCAGCCCTCCCTGCCCAGCAGGGGCAGGCAGAGGGGCCTGGGCCCAGGCAACGCAGGGGCAAAGAGAGCAAACTATTTTATTAATAAAAATTAATAAAACCTTTATTAATATTTATTATCTGCTGGGCCAGATGCCACAGGACAAGCACCAACCAGTCCCCAGAGTCCCCCTGCTCCCCAGAACGGGCCAGGACGCAGCAGGACCGGGGGCTTTGGCTGGTGGGGGGAGGCAGCTCCAGGTGCTGATGTCCTGGGGGGCCAGGGAGCAGCAGAAGACCCTGAGCAGCCCGCGGGTGCAGATGACAAGAGGGAACAGAGGGGAAGAGGGTGGTGCAGGCACAGCAGGGAAGCCTCAGGGCTCTTACCCTGCCCCAGGACAGGGCCCACCTGCCACAGGAAGGGGCTGCAGGAAATGCAGGGGTCCAGGTACATGGTGGGGACAGTGGGGTCCCACAGGCACTGGAGGTGTGAGCAGAGCTGGGGGGTACAGCAGGATCCACCCCAAGCCCTGGAGCTCGGTCCCATTTTGGGCTGGAAGGGGTCTTGGGGCTTCCACAGCCCACCAAGGTGGGGAAAGTGAGGCACTGCCAGCTCCTCGTCCATGCTGAGGGGCGTAAGGCAGGGCAGGGAGGGGGGGCTGTGCCCCTCCCTTTTCCCAGAAGCAGGAAAGCAAACAGGAGCAGGCAGCTGGGAGCAATAAACCTCAGGTGAGAGCTGTGCCGAGGAAGTTGGTACCTGCAGAGCCAGGGGCAGCTGTGGGAGGGACCCCAGCGGGCCCAGGGACTCGCTGCACCCCTCACCAGGGAGAATCAAAGTGGAGCCACAGAGCCCAGTCCCAATAAATTCACAACCTGTTTAATGCCAGTTCGATTGCTTTACATGGAAAAGTTACAGCACACTCCATGGTTTTTTTCCACCATTTGACACCTGGGATATGATGACGCCACGAGGCCACAGACTGTCACCAGCTCTGGGAGGACCCTGTGCCTGGGTCAGTGCTCACAGGTCACACCCCAACACACCACCTCAGCTCTGCCCTTTTCCCTGCTGAACCCTCAGCCAGTGACAGTGTCACAGTGTCACCTGCACACACACACACCCACACGGACACGGCAGGGAGCTCCCTCCTGCCCCCGCAGCTGGGAGCAGGGGGGGAGGCAGCTCTGGCAGCCAGGGCAGGGTGAGCAGCCTGTTCTCACCGTGCTCCGAGGGCACAGCATGGCCACAGAACAGCCCTGGCCTGGCAATCACCAGCCCTCGCTGCCAAGTGCAATGAGAGAAGCCAGCACGAGCCATCCTGCTCCCAAGGCAGAGAACAGCGAGGTGTGGAAGCAAGGCGTAGTTTGGGAAAGAGCCTGGCAGGAGAGGACAGTGGTGGGGGACAGTGACAAGGGGGTGTCCCTGCTTTGCAGCATCCTGGGGCGCAGCTGGGAGCACTGGGCAGAGGCTGCAGTGCCCACCTGGCACTACCCCCCACCTCAGCAGCTCCCACATCACAGGCTGAGAGGCAAACCCATCCCTGCAGGAGCCCTGGAACACTGGGGAGCCACACCAGCATCACTCTCACCCTGTGCTCCAGCTGGGACCCAACTCTCTCCTGCTCCAGAACGGGCACAAACCAGGCTGAGACCTCCTGTGCCCATACCCCACATAACTACTCCTTCCCAGAGGAGAAAGCAGTGTGTCCTGGGGGTCTGCACAGCGGGATTTGGGCAGGAGGCAATCCACAAGAGACAGGAAAATCCACAGCACAGCCCCCCCTGTGCACAGCCCCACTCCCAGGCGATAACACCCGTGACAGACCACCTCTTGCTGCAGGTGGCCCTTTGCTTCAAACCCACTCCCCAACTTAATCATCTGACTCAATTTAACACCTCCTGGGTGCTCCCAACCCACAGTGATGTGGAACGGTGCCTGTGAACAGAACAAGCAACACGAGAGAGGCTGGGGGGGTGGTCACTTCACCACCTCCCACAGCCAGAGCTACACTAAAGCAGTTGTGTCCAAACTGTGCTTCAGAAATTCCACGGAAAATCCATTCTGGTGGCAAGTTAAGACTGTGAGATGGCAAGGTGGGCTGTGGGCCTGGGAGACTCAGAGCTGCCAGGCTGTGTGGAGTGAGGGGGCTCCCAGCACACCAGCTCCTCACCAGGGCCTCCCAGGAGCTGCGACACGGGGGCAGCACCAAGAGCCTGATCCAGGCACTGGTGTGATGGCACGTGCGGTCAAGGCTGTGGTGAACAGGCTCACCCTGTAAGGAAACTGGTGGTACTGGGGACAGGCAATTGTATTCCTACTGCCTGGTTTTCGGGAAAGAAGGGAGGGGAGGAAAGCCGACAAAGAAAAGAGAGAGAAAAGCATTGCCTACGTCACCTACAGAGAGAGGGCACGGTCTATATACACAGCCAGGGAATTCCACACGGGAACAGGAAGCAGTGCTGGGAAAGGGCAGGAGGCAGGCAGGGCCCGGGCAGGGCAGGCACACGTCAGACAGGACACGCTGTGCAGCCTCACAGCTCCCCTTAAATTAAAAGCACCACACACACACACACACACACACACACACACACACACACACGAGTTTGTGTCACCCCACGGGCTCCAACACCAGCTGCACTCTCGTCCCACGTGACCTAAAAACCCCAAACCAAAACCCGACAGCAGGGCCCTGGCTGGGACTTGGAGATAACAAAAAGCAACACTGCAGCCCTGCTTTAGGAGAACCCTCCTTCCAGCCAGAAGAGGCCCTGCTTGCCCCAAAAATCAGATCCTCAGGAGGTATTTTGGCTCTCAAACACATCCCAACTGCTTCTGGCCTCAGGGAGACTCCGGAGCAAGGCACTGGGGGAAGCTCCACATGCACGGGGGGATTGGGTTTCTCTTTTTATACAGTCCTTGTTTCTCCTCTCTGGTACCTCACAGGATCAGCCCAGAACATGCAACAGCAACTGCAGAACTTCCCGAATCTGCTCCCTCGGAGGTGAAGCTTTCCCAAGTCTCCTCCAAAGTTTAGAGCCCCAAAATGTATTTGTTCAGAGGCAGCTGTCAAGCACACCAGGAAAATCAAGCTGTCTTATGGGAATGATTATGTCAAGTACTACAGTACCTGTCTGGGTGAAAAAATAAAGAAAAAAAACAAAGGAAAATAGGCAGTTCTCCAGTTTCTTCCTGGAACGGGGGATGGCAGGCTATGAACAAAGCCCTTCGATGCCCAGCTGGAGCCGTGTCCACTCGCACCAGTGGTACTGGCCCAGTCTGGCTGGCTCCTGCCTCCAGAGATGTCACTGAGGACACAGGGACCCAGAGCAGCACGTCAAACCCCTTCCCACAGCGACAAGGATATGCTCCTCTCTCCCAGGAGGGACGGCATGGCCGTGGGGATGGCCTCAGTCCGGTCTCAGTGGTCCATGTCACACGAGTCCTCCCCGGTACCGTCCGGAGGGCTGGAGGATGCTGGGTTAACATTTCTCTTGCACCCGTTTCCCTTTATGAAAGATGAATCCACAAACCTTTGGCAGTTCCCTCCCCTCCCCACCCCATCCCAAATACTGCCCAGCGTGGATCACAAGCACGTATTTATTGAGCTGGGTCCTCCTCCAGTCCCTCAGCTCTCCCTCCCCTCGGCTGGGCTCCGGGGGTCCATGCAGGCCGAGGGAGTGGTCTGATCCTGGAATGTCAGGCTGTAGGTTCCTGGGGCGCAGGGAGAGGGTTTATCGTATCCTGGTGAAGAGGTTAAGCACGGACACAGACTCCTGAGAAGACAAAGCAGGGGTAAGTCCTCCACAGCGGTAACTCCACGTGCTTTTGCGTTGGTTTGTTTTTAATCTGGCGAGGTATCTCTAGCTCAGCACATGATCCCAGCTCATCATCCAAAGTCCAACACCCATAAATATTCCCATGGGTTACTTCCAACTGGTAACAAGGAGCACAGCACGCCAGTGTTCCCACAGCTCTGCAGGCAGCTGTGCCCCAGAGCAGGCAGAAACCGAGGGACCCCCAGCAGCAGTGCCAGCTCCCCCCAGCCCCATCCTCCAGATCCCTCTGCCAGGCACCCAGAAAAGCTCTTGGAGCACCGGGAACAACCTGCCTCTGGTGATAGTGAACTGTCATTGGCAGCATCCATGACCCAATTTCCATCCAAGCCCCTGTTTTAAGGGGTGTAGTAAGGAGCCAAGGGATAAGCACTGAACGGTTTGGGTTGGAAGAGACCTTAAAGTTCACCTTGTTCCACCTGCTGTCACAGGCAGCGGACACCTTCCACTAGCCCAGGTGGCTCCAAGCCCCATCCAACAAGGCCTTGGACACTTCTAGAGATAGGGCAGCCAAAGCTGCTCTGGGCAACCTGTGCCAGGGTCTCACCACTCTCATAGGAAAGAGTTTTCCCCTAAAATCTAATCTAGACCCGTCCTCTGGCAGTGGGAAGCCATTTCCCTTTGTCCTGTCCTTTCATGCTTTGTCCAAAGTCCCTCTCCCGCTCTCCTGGAGCCCCTTTAGGCCCTGGAATGGGCTTCAGGTCTCTCCAAAGCCTTCTCTTCTCCAGATTGAATAGCCCCAGGTCCCAGCCTGCTGTCACCTCTGAGGGCTCAGTTCACAGCCACACACCAGCAGGAAGATGGTGGGCTCAGGGTAAGTCCCCCAAAATGCTGCCCAGCAGCCCTGGGACCAGCCTGGACAGACAGGGATGTTGTGTCACACTGCCTTGGGCACACAGGGTGACCTTTTACTTCATCTGACAACAAATCCATTAAATCTCAGCAGAGCTGAACCCTCCCCTGCCCCCAGCCCTTGCTGTGCAGGAGGCAGTGAAGGGATCAGAGGGAAGGCAGCAGAGCAGAGCCACCGTGCCTCGAGTGCCCCCTGAGCAGTTCCCCCTCCCCCTCCCCCCGAGGGCCCTACCTTTGTGGAGCGAGTTTTACTGAAGACGTTCCAGAAGCGCAAGGTCTCGTCCCCAGCTCCTGTGACAATGGCCTCCCCGTCAGGGGACATCGCCTGCGGCCAAGACAACAACCATTACCATCTGCCACGCTTAGGAGGCTCAAAACAGATCTCCCTTGGAATGCAGGAGAGAGATTTAACCCTCCTCCCTACTTGGCTGGCAGTGAGAAGCCAAACAACTTCCTCTGCTCCCAGGTGCCTCATCCAGCCTCAGGGGCAGTTTGGGCACTTGCACTTCAGTGGTGAGGCTATGGAACACACGGGGGGACTATCATGGGAAGGGTTCTTGTGTAACTGAGGCTATTCCTCCCAGGATTATAAACATGCCTTAAGGCAGGAAGTGTGACCTGACTGGATTTGCTGGCTGTATTGGTCTCTTACACTGGAATCTACCTCCCAAAACAGCAGCAGTATTTGTCAGCTCTGCTGTGAACTGCTGAAAGCCCCGTGTAACAGTAACAGAGCAGCTATGAATCACTGGGATCACCTGCACCAAGTGATTAATGACAAATGGAGGGGGGTGAAAGCAGCAAATTCTTGCCCTGCTGACAGTCTCCAGTGCAAAGGTGTGAAGGTCTTCAGAGTACAAAGAGTACTGTTCCACAGAATCATGAAATGATTTGGGTTGGAAAGGGACCTTAAAATCACCTTGTTCCACCCCCTGCCACAGGCAGGGACACCTTCCACCAGCCCAGGTGGCTCCAAGCCCCATCCAACCTGGCCTTGGACACTTCCAGGGATCCAGGGACAGCCACAGCTGCTCTGGGCAACCTGTGGTAGCCCCTCCCCACCCTCCCAGCCAGCAATTCCTTCTCAATATCCCATCTCACCCTGCCCTCTGGCAGTGGGAAGCCATTTCCCCTTGTCCTGTCCCTCCAGGCCCTTCTCCAAAGTCCCTCCCCAGCTCTCTTAGAGTCCCTTTGGGCACTGGAAGGGGTTCTATGGTTTCCCTGGAGCCTTCTTTTCTCCAGGCTCAAAGGAGTTTTCTCAAAAGAAAGCTCAGACATTTCCTCTGAAGAGTTTGGCAGGCTTTGCTGTCATTAACAAAGCCTCACATCTCCATAGCAGCAAATCAAAGCATCCCTTGCAGGCACAGAAACCAGACATGGAGCATTTTCCGCCGCTCCTGGGCAGCGTTCACATCCCCACCCAGACTCTGGGCAGCTCCTGGCACTGCTGCTGTGGGTCACCTGCAGCCAGGTGAGCACCTCCCGAGAGGTGGCCATCACTCACCAGGTACAGGACTCGGTAGGAGTGCCCCGTGAGCTTTGCTACTTGGGTTAACGAGGGGTATTTCCAGACCAGGATCTGGTTCTGTGAGTATCCGTGAGTGCTCACCTGGAAGGGGAGAGGGGAAACAGGCATCACAGAACCATGGAGTCATTAAGGTTGGAAAAGACCTTTAAGATCAAGTCCAACCATCAACCCAGCACCACCACCATGTTCACCACTAAACTATGTCCCCAAGGGCCACCACTGCTCTGGGCAGCTGTGCCAGGGCTGGACAGTCCTTTCTCTTGAAAACATTTCCCCGAATATCCAATCTAAACCTCTCCTGGTGCAACTTGGAGCTGTTTCCTCTTGTCCTGTCCCTTGTTCCCTGAGAGCAGAGACTGACTCTCATCTGGCTCCACCCTCCTGTCAGAGAGCTGGAGAGAGTGAGAAGGTGCCCCCAAACCTCCTTTTCTCCAGGTTGAGCCCCTCCAAGTTCCCTCAGCTGCTCCTGGGGCTCCAGCCCCTTCCCCAGCTCCGTTCCCTTCTGTGGACACTCTCCAGCCCCTCAATGTCCTTCTTGTCCTGAGGGCCCAGAGCTGACCCCAGGATTCGAGGTGGTGCCTCAGCAGTGCCAGCACAGGGACAGTCCCTGCCCTGGCCCTGCTGGACACACTGTGGCTGGCACAAGCTCCGTGCCCACGTGGGCACTCCTGGCTCACGTTCAGCCCTGCCTGCCCCACGGGACAGCCTGGCAGCAGCGCTGCCCAGGGAGGACTCACCAGCTCGTTGGCGTGCTTGGACCAGGCCAGGTTGCACACCTGGGAGCCGGTGTCGATGCACTGCAGGGGCTGCCCCGTGAGCGTGTTCCAGAAGCGGATGCAGCGGTCGGCTGTGCCCCCGCCCGAGGCCAGCAGCCCGTGCTGGTGAGGGGACCAGGCGATGGCTTTGACTGCTGCCAGATGCTCTGTGTATTGTTGGACAGGGCTCAGGCTGGAGTGATTCCAGACGAGGAGCTGGCAGGGAGGAGAGACGTGATCAAACTTGTGCCTCAGTCATGTGTCCGCAACACCCACGAGCCGTGATGGGGCCAAGCAGGGCAGCTGGGCAACAATCTAATTTCCCACAGCTCTGTCCAGGCACACTCTGCTCCACTCTGCACTTCACAGAGTCCCAGAATGGTTTGGGTTGGCAGGGACCTTAAAGCCCATCTAATTACACCCCTTGCTATGGGCAGGGACACCTTCCACCAGCCCAGGTTGCTCCAAGCCCCATCCAACCTGGCCTTGGACACTTCCAGGGATCCAGGGGCAGCCACAGCTGCTCTGGGAAACCCGTGCCAGTCCCACCCAGCCACTACACCCAGCTGAGGAGCCATTCTACCCCTGGGCTGGGAACAGTCCCTAAGGGAAGTGCACAAAGACAGCATCACTGACTGGAACCTCAGACCCTGCTGTTGTTTTTCGGATGTATCATTCTAGAATGCACCCAGAAACCCGCTCAGTTCATTAGGAGTTATTCTGAGCAGGAGGAACTCGGTCCAACCATGCTGTCACACAGGCAATGGGCACATTCCCTACCTAGCAACCCACTCCAAAGGGCTTGGAACACTGCTTCTCCACGACAGATGCTTCTCCCATATGGTGCTCAGTGAGCTACAAGCCTGTGTTACAGGTAGGAGAACTCACAGAGCTCTGCCTCGGGTTCCTTCTGCACACAAACATCACTGCAACAAACGTGACCGTACACTGCCTGAACAAAGGCAGGAAGGGCAGCTTAGCAGTGACTTTACCGAATTCAAGAGCCAAGCTAGAGATTTAATTAGCCACATACAGAAGCAAAATGAAATTTGCCTTTTTAATTTTATTAGGAGGAGAAGACTGAGTAGAAGCTTAGCATGATTTATGTTGGTCATGCTCCAACAACCAAAACAAAAGCCCCTTTCAGAGAGGCCAAACATCCTTAAAGAATCCCAGAATCATCAGCGTTGGAAAAGACCTTTAAGGTGAAGTCCAACCTTTAACCTGATCCCACCAGGCCTACTAAACCGTATTTCAAAGAGCCACATCCACATATTTTTCAACCCTTCCAGGGATGTTGACTCCACCACCGACCTGGGTAGCCTGTTCTGATGTTTAACCCCTCTTTCAGTGAAGAAATTTTTCCTAATATCCAACTTGAACCCTCCCTTGGTGCAACTTAAGGCCATTTCCCCTTGTCCTAAAAAGAAAGGGGGGGTTGAGATTTCATGTGACTGTACCTTATTATCATTCCCTCCAGAGGCCAGGAGCTGGTGATCTGTGGACCACTTGAGCCCACAGACCTCCTGCCTGTGCCCCTGGAGCCGGCGCTCGGACTGCACGGGCGGGGTGCGGATGTCCCGCTGCAGGATCATCCTGTCCCGGCTCCCCGACGAGAGTTGGTCTGCATTCCACGCCAGGGCACCTGCAACGTGGGCACAGCTTCACTCAGAGGGGGGTGTGGGAGTCATGGAATCACAGAGGCTTTGGGGTTGGAAAAGACCTCTAAGATCATCAGGTCCAGCTGCCAATGCAGCACCGCCCTGTTCACCGCTAAACCAGGTCCCCACATGCCACAACCACACGTTGTTTGAACACTCCCAGGGATGGTGACTCCACCACTGCCCTGGGCACCTGTGCCAGTGCTTGACAACCCTTCCCATTAAGAAATTTCCCTCATATACAGCCTGAACCTCCCCTGGTGCAACTTGAGGCCGTTTCCCCTTGTCCCGTCCCATTCCCTGGGAGCAGAGCACAACCCCATCCCGGCTACCCCCTCCTGTCAGGGAGCTGCAGAGAACAAGAAGGTATTCCAAGCCTCCTTTTCTCCAGGCTGAGCGCCCCCCAGCTCCCTCAGCTGCTCCTGGTGCTCCAGACCCTTCCCCAGCTCCACTCCCTTCCCTGGACACGCTCCAGTCCCTCATTGTCTTTCCTGTTGTGAGCGGCCCAGAACTGTTCCCAGGATTTGAGGTGTGGCACAGGGGGACAGTCACTGCCCTGGCCCTGCTGGACACAATATCAAGCCCAACCTCTCAAGCCCTGCAGTAGCAGGCAAGCAGAATGCAAACACCACAGTTGTCAAGGGATAAAAAAAAAAACAAAACAAAGGAAACCCTGACCCAAACCTTACAGATCTTCCTTACATCCAGTCCTAGATCTGTGCACAAAGGAAGATTCCCCTGCACAGACTGACTGCAGGAATCACCAACCCCACTTCACAGTGCAACAAAGCACAGGGACAGATCTCAGGAAGTGCCTAGATTTCCCAAATCTCATCCCAGAGTCCAGATTCACAACCTCTTCCCTCTCTCTGAGCAGAACAAAAAAAAAACCCAGCCCCCTCTGAAAAAGGGAACTGGAAATCTCAGTGAGAAGCTGCCAGCAGGCCTGCAACTGGAAGCCAGTGGCAGTGAAAGGATGTTGCAACCAAACCCAAAATGCCTCAGACATGGAGAAAACACCTGCTTGCAACACCCAACCACCATCCCACCCAGACCAGAGCACCACTGTTATGAGACTAGAATATTTTCAAGACTGCTCAAGACACAGCAGGGGATAAATACCAACTCTGGAATTCCAGGTTTTCTATTTCCAGCAGATCCTTGGCTAGCAAAGTTCAATCAGGAAGGAACAGACCCCGTGAACCCTCTGCCTCCCCACTCCTCACCGACTCTGGCCGTGTGCCCCTCCAGCATGGAGAGCTTCTTTCCTGCAGCTGCGTCCCAGATCTGTACAAAGCCCTTGTGAGTGCCAACAGCCACCAGGTTCCCCTGGACAAACAGAGAGCCAGCATCAGTACAGCCAGCAAGTACAGCCAGAGAACAAGCTGGAAGCTGAGGGAAAAGACTTGAGATGAATCCCACTTTAGATGGAAAGCATCCAGAGTTCTTCCATCTTACATGTTTTCCCCGAGTGAGAGGCCCAAGCAGCCTGGCTGGAATATATTTATTGTAACATTTTATTGTCAAGAGCTGGAGAAGAACTGGCTTTTTCTCCCTCCCACTCCTCTTAGCAATGTCTTGAGAACCTCGAGATACAAGAGGCTGTTCTCTAACCCCTCTCTTTTAGCAGAGCAGAAGAAGAGTGCTGACAGGAAAACACATCTGATTGGTGAGGTACAGGGGAATTCAGGAAAAGAAGCCAAGGAGTTAATCCTGGCTGTGACGACAGTGCCTGAGTGAGAGGTGTCTCAGCTGTCCCTGCTGGCAGTGCCATACTGACCCGTTCTGACCAGCCCACGGATGTCACGGAATCCCCTTCCACAGACAGGTCACACAGCCGGGTCACCTTCGGAGAGCACAGAATGGGGTAAGAAACACGGGTTTTTGTCACACAGCACTACTGGCTGTCTCACAAACCAGCACCTCGTTTGGCACAGAGCATGACAGGTGCTGAGCCCCTCACAGGGCACATTCCACAGCTCTGGAAGGCTGGAAAAGCCCTACAGCAGCAGGTACTTCCCTCCTCAGTGACAACCATTTACCTGACTTGTACAAGCACTCCACAGGTAAACACAAGTCCCAAGGCCAACACTGAGGACGTTAAGAGAGGACCAGTCCACCAGGTTCAGGTAGAAGTCATCCTGCAGCTCTGGGGCATCCAGCACTTTGAAAGGAATCTTGGAGATTTTCCGAGTTGGTTTTCGAGGTGATCTTAGCAGCTTCTGACTGTTTACAAAAACAGACAGAAAAACAACTCCAGGAGCCTGCACAGCACAGCAGATGGGAGGCACAGGTGCAGCCACTCTTTACAGCATTTCTGTAGAAATGCAGGGACAAAGAGGCTGCACAATTCCTTCCAGCAGCAAGAATGTAAGGAATTAGGTTCTGCTCCTACAAAGGACCCAGGGAGCAAAAGGGTAAACTGATTACTAAGAGTTGGCCAAGACACGTTAAGCACACAGGCAGGTTGGGCACCTGCAGAAATTGCTAGAATTCAACTGTCCCTATTTATTATCTCTCCAGGTGTCCAAACCCAATTCACACTGCAATTTTGGGTGCCTCAGAGAAAAGCCCTACAGAACCTTGCTGGACCCTCTGTCCCAGCCCCTCTCACAGCCCAGGGAGGATCAGTGTTACCTTTTGTTGCTGACAGGAGACAGGGAATAGGGTGAGACCTCGTTGCCGTCATCAGGGCTGGAACGTTTTGTGCTGAGCGAGTACTGCATGAGGAAAACACACTCCTAAGCACCCTGAGGCATCACTCCCCCGGTGCACTGCTGCCAATCCAACTCTAACACCCAGTCAGATTGCCCAGATTTTTCAGTTCTTCCCTTTCTCAGGTGCCCCAAAACCACACAGCTCCTCTCACCTCCCCAGAAGTCCAGAACGCCTGATTTGATCATTCGCCACACTGTGCAAAAAAAGCCCCACCCAGCTTTCCTGCCTGCACACACACAGGAAGCATGTTGTTTGCTGCACACTCAGGTGCTCCTTGCAGGCCACCAAATGTGTTATCAACAGCTTATCTCAGCTAAGCCCCAACACCAGCTCACTGCACAAGCAGCCTGGCAGGGCCGTGTGCTCTGCTCCTGTGACCCGCCGTGCAACCTGCACGGGGTTTAGTGCAAATAACTGACTTACAGTGAAGAGAGACTTCTTCTCTGGGGTGGATGGCTGCAGCCTCCTGTCCTCTGTCTGAGGGTCCTGCACCTTCTCGATCCCTGCTCCCAAGAGTTCATTCTTCAGCAGGGCAGAGTAGGCCAGGCCATCTGTGAACCCAAACGAGCACTGAGCAGAGCGCTCCGAGCAGCAACAGCTCTGCAGGGAGAGCCAGGATCATGTCTGCCTGACCTGGAGAAGAGAAGGCTCCAGGGAGACCTTTGAGCCCATTCCAGTGCTTAAAGGCCCTCCAAGAGAGCTGAAGGGGGAGTTTGGACAAGGGCCTAGAGGAACAGGACAAAAGGGGAATGGCTTCCCCGTGCCAGAGGGCAGGGTGAGATGGGATATTGGGAAGGAATTGTTGGCTGTGAGGGTGGGCAGGCCCTGGCACAGGTTGCCCAGAGCAGCTGTGGCTGCCCCTGGATCCCTGGAAGTGTCCAAGGCCAGGCTGGACGGGGCTTGGAGCACCCTGGGCTGGTGGAAGGTGTCCCTGCCCATGGCAGGGGGTGGAATAAGATGAGGTTTAAGGTCCCTCCCAACCAAAATCATTCCATGATTCTATGAATTGTACACTCACAGAGCCTTTTAATAAGCCTGGGGCCCCTGCTTAGAAGCCAGATTAGCAGCAAGCTTTCCCTCCTTCCTCCCATCAGGAAAGTGCTTCCCTGGCACAGTAAACCATGGGATACAAAGAACCTCTTTCCTCCCAGACACTCATCAGAAGCAGTGAGCTGGTATTCACTCACGATGAGGGCCTTTCCCAAAACTCCAGCACGAGTTTTGGCATAAGGATGAAAGTGCCAGTGTGGTCTAAATTCCCAAGCTCCCCAAAGCTGTGCAGTAGGAGCTCGGGGCGTGGCCCGAGCAGCAGGTGGGGGCTCTCACCTTTGCCGTTGTCTGATGTAGCATCCTTTGCTTTTCTGTTCTGGCTTGGTGATTTTTCATTTTCCTGAAATGGAGAAACACGCCATCACCACACAGAAAGCTCAGGATATATGGTGAAACAGCAAATCCAGAAGGCTCCTGGAGCACAGGGTTTGAGCCCGAGCACTCAAAGGAAGGGATCAAAACTTACATTTATTCTGTGGAAGTTAATGCTCCAGTTGGCCCCAGCTCTTGAGGGAATGAATCTGTCACCGTGCTTACTAGGAGAAGACATTGGGGAATTGGAAGGTGTCAGGGTTCTTCTCATCTCTGCTACCTGAATTAAAGAATAAAAGACATTGGACTTACTCTTGTCAACAGTTGGTGGGTTTGTCAGCCCCCAGTTTTTTACATTACATGTGTAGTTACTGAGATTATGTAGTAAAAAGGCATTTACTGAGCTCAAAAAAAATATTTTCACTCCTTTTTGCAAACTGAACTGGGGTTGTATTTTCAAAAGTCTTTTGAAGTCATGTTACTTGGGTATTCATAGAACAGCTCAGGAACTCACACCTGCTCACAGCCCAACAAAAGGCTGTGGTTTGCTTTGAAGGGGCCCCAGGTCTTTCAGAAGTTCAAGGAAAACAGTCACAGGCGAGACAGACAACAACGTAACAGCGAGCCTGAGCCCATCTGCACTCACACAAGGCATTGTGTTCTCATTCTGTATGTTGATTTGGCGTAGCAGACGTCTCTCGTAGTCCTGGTCCATGGTGGGAAGCTGGCTGGGGACACCAGCAGCCCCAGGAATTTGTCTTTGCGAACTCCAAGCAGTAATTAGTCACCTGCAAAAGCCGGGGGGGGAAACACATCAAAATGTTACACCCCTCCACGCAGAAACAGCCTCTTCGGCTTCCTAAGCCTGTTCTTTGAACTTGAGACCACTTTTCCTACCCAGACTGCTGATCCCAAACTGATACCAGAACGCACTTTCCTGAGCAGCCCCGCGCTCCGTGACTGCCCTTGGCTGCTGATTCTCGTGTGCAGGCACCAGCACTCTGTGTCTGACAGGACCTTAGCAGGTCCCCCCCTCCTGGAGCAGGGAGTGCCCCCAGGCCCTGCAGCAGCACAGTTTGCCAAGCCTGCAGGACACAGGCATGGGAAGTTCAGGCACCTACAGCCTGTCCTGTCCAGGTTCTGGCACAGGTTGCCCAGAGCAGCTGTGGCTGCCCCTGGATCCCTGGAAGTGTCCAAGGCCAGGTTGGACAGGGCTTGGAGCACCCTGGGCTGGTGGAAGGTGTCCCTGGCCATGGCAGGGGGTGGCACTGGATGAACTGTAAGGTCCCCCCAATCTGAAGCACTCTGAGATTCTATCAGGCCTGTACCCCCCCTCAGGCCAGGGGCAGCAGTGCTGAGGGTGGGATGTTTTCAGACTTGACAGAAGTACTGGAGACTTTTAACACCACCCACTGCAGGAACACACAGCTAGGGATGAGGCAGCCCTCAAGTGAACATGCCACAGCCGATGTGCATGCTGTCCCAAATACTCCTCCTGGCTGGCACAAAGCTCACTCACAGCTGTACAGTCTCAAAAGCACACATTTTATGCATATATTTAAGGACAGGGCTGCTTCACAGCCGAGATTTGGCTCCTAAATGACAATGTGTATCAATAAAAAATAAATGAGCTGACACTTGTGTGAGGACACAGAGTCACAGCCCTCCCTGAGGGCAGAGAGCAGCAACCCCAGGGCCCCAGCTCCCCACTCAGACACACCTCCTGCCTTGCCCATGGCTGACATGGGCACAAAAACACCGACGCCAGAAGGGACACGCCAAGTTGGTCTTTCAACCCAAGATAAACATGTCCAAAGGGAAAGGTAGAATCTGACACACAAGCAAACCCCCACAACACACAGGCAGCTGGAAGCTGCGCAGCACGTGGAGGGATTTTCATTCCTGGTATTGCATAAACATTTATGGAGCTGCCTCCAGATACAAACTTGCTGCAAAATCCAGGAGGCGAAAGTACACAAGGCTGTGCTGGGAGGAGGCTGCCCAGGGAGCAGCTGCACAGTGCCACACTCAGGGACTGCCAGGCACTGCTTCCTGCTCCCCCCGGTATGACCTGCTGGGAAGAGGTTCCCTCCAGGAACCAAAAACCTACCCAGAGTTTGTCGTTAAAAACTGGGGGCAAGTTACCAAGCTACGGGGGGAGCAGCAGCACACGCTGCAATTCAGCAAGATGTGATGAAGTGTTAGAGTATCCTGTGAAATCAGCTTGAAAGCAAGACAAAGCACACACACTGTGCACTGCAGCTGTCCCTCAGCCTGAGGAGCTGACAGCCTTTTATCTCAAAGGGTTACAGCAAATGGGGTGACATCAGCCTGGTGACCAGGCACCAGCGGGGTTCCACAGGGTTCCAATCTTAGTGCCAGTTCTCTTGAATGTCTTCATAAGTGACTTGGATGCAGGACTGGGAGGTCCTCAGTGGATTTGCTGAGGACACCAAGCTGGGAGGAGCTGCTGACTCCCTCAAGAACAGAGAGGTCCCACAGAGAGACCCCGACAAATGTGAGGGCTGGGCAATCCCCAATGGCGTGGTGTTTAACAAAGGCAAACGCCAGATCCTGCCCCTGGGATGGGCAGCCCTGGATGCAGAGACAGACTGGGGAATGAGAGGCTGGAGAGCAGCACCAGGGGAAGGGCTCTGGGGGTCCTGGTGGGTGGCAAATTGGATCTGAGTCAGCAGAGTGTCCTGGCAGCCCAAAGGGCCACCCTGTCCTGGGGGGCATCAGGCCCAGCATCGCCAGCCGGGCCAGGGAGGGGATTGTCCCGCCCTGCCCTGACCTGGGGTGGCCTCACCTCGAGTCCTGGGGGCTGTTTGGGGGCCACAGTGTCAGAGGGATCTAAAGCTGTTGGGGAGTGTCCAAAGGAGGGACAGGGAGCTGGGGAAGGGTGTGAGGAGCAGCTGAGGGCACTGGGCTGGTTCAGCTGGAGCAGAGGAGACTGAGGGGAGACTCCTCGGGGGCTGCAGCTCCTCCCGAGGGCAGGCGGAGGGGCAGGCGCTGAGCTCTGCTCTGGGACCAGGGACNCCAGGGACAGGAGCCAGGGAAGGGCTGGAGCTGTGCCAGGGGGGTTGGGATGGATCTCAGGGAAAGGTTCTTCCCCCAGAGGGTGGTGGGCACTGCCCAGGCTCCCCAGGGCAGTGGGCACGGCCCCAAGGCTGCCAGAGCTCCAGGAGCGTTTGGACAACGCTCTGAGGGACAGGGGGGGATTGTTGGGGTGTCCTGGGCAGGGCCAGGAGTTGGGCTGGATGAGCTCAGGAGATTCTGTGCTTCTCTGATCTAAGCCATTTGTTAGTATTGAAACTTGGACTAGTTACAAATGCTGAAAAGCTTTTTTTTCCTTGCCATTAAGCCTGCCAGCACTTTTGCAGGAGCATCCCTGAATAGACAGTGCCAAGTTGGTTCTGAGCACACCTGTTTACCTCTGCCACCTCCTCCCCCAAGCTTTTTTCATTTAACGCATTTCTCCCATATGTTCTTTCAGAGGCAAAACTGGAGAAAGCTCCCAAATTTAACATTGATCAGCTTCCACCAAATGAAGCAAAGAGTCAGAGACGGCATTACTGGAGCGTAAAGTCAGAAAAATCTGTGATGCTATTAATAAAGGAGGTTAAAAAAATAACAATTAGTGCATGCCATGTTAAACACTCTCCCTCACCACCGTTATCGACCCACGAGCACCAAATGTGTATCTCAAATCAAAGAGCTCCACAACATGCACACTCTTCCCCACCCCACTCCCCTTTTCTTTTTTTGGGTTGTTGTTGTTTTAACACCATGAGCTCAGCCCGCAGAACCCACACGAAGAGCGTGATCAGCTGGGGAACACCACACACTTGAAGTGTCCTCCCAGAATGGTTCAGCACAGCATTGGTGAGAGATCCAGACCCAGTTACACTGCAGAGACACATTTTTAATTCTGCACCTGAAACAGATTTGCTTCTCGAGCTTCTGAGTTCCCATCTGCCCAAATTTCAGCTACAACTTCCACTCAGCAACACAGCACAGAGCGTCCAACAGAGAGACTGCAGAGGCAGAACACAGCAGTGAACGTTCAGCACCTAAAAAATGACCTGTTTTTACCTTAAAACCTGTTCCACAGGCCCAAGGAGCAGGCAGCACCTCTGGTTTGGGGTAGGCCCTTGCCAACTCCAAATTTGTCTGTTAGAAGTGAGCAGATTTTTCTTTTCCCCCCAGGCAAGCAAAAAAGGCTTTGCCAGAAGGACCTGGGGGTGCTGGTTGGCAGGGGTTGAACATGAGCCAGGAGTGCCCATGTGGGCATGGAGCTTGTACCAGCCACAGTGTGTCCAGCAGGGCCAGGGCAGGGACTGTCCCTGTGCTGGCACTGCTGAGGCACCACCTCGAATCCTGGGGTCAGCTCTGGGCCCTCAGGACAAGAAGGACAGTGAGGGGCTGGAGAGTGTCCAGAGAAGGGAATGGAGCTGGGGAGGGGGCTGGAGCCCCAGGAGCAGCTGAGGGAGCTGGGGGGGCTCAGCCTGGAGAAAAGGAGGCTCAGGGGGGACCTTCTCACTCTCTCCAGCTCCCTGACAGGAGGGGGGAGCCGGAGGAACGAAGGACAGGACAAGGGGAAACAGCTCCAAGTTGTACCAGGGGAGCTTCAAGCTGTATATTAGGGAAAACTTCATGGAAAGGGCTGTCCAGCCCTGGCACAGCTGCCCAAGGCAGGGGTGGACTCACCATCCCTGGGAGTGTGTTCAAAAGCCATGTGGCACTTGGGGGCACGGTTTGGTGGTAACCTTGGCAGTGCTGGGGAACGGTTTGACTGGATGGTCTTTTCCAACCCCAATGATTCTGTGGTCCTATGACTGGGTATGTGGGCTATAAGTTCTCTTTAAATTGGGAGAAATAAAAGATCTGGAGGAGCTGCACGTGTTACATATTCTTTTTGTATAATACTTTGTTACTAATTATGCAGTTTATACTTGGAGAAGAAAGGTGGAGTTTGGTGGAAGGTTTTGGATTCCTAAGGAAGAATTTGTATTCTGACTTTATTTTCTTCATGCACCTTATGTGCTGTCTCTGAATTGACTGGATTGTCTCACAGCCCATTACTTTAAGAACAACACTTAAAGGCAGAGTTACGGTGCTGAACAAAGAGCCTTTTGTTCTTTTTATTGACCCAACCTTCAAGTATTCAAATACAGAAATGTTCTTTCTTGGTATGGATGTGTTTTTAATAAGCCAGCATGCAGAATGCCAGGGCTGGCTGGGAAACGAGGGCAGTTATTTTGCAAAGTGATTCGTGTGGTTTGAGGCAGGTTGTGCCTGTTTGGATTCCCCTGCACACCCTGAAGCTGGGGGGACAGATGCAGGTTGGCTTGGCTCTGTCAATCCAGACGTGCTCTGGGTGAGCCTTGACCCTTTTTTAATTCCAGAAATTGCTCGTGTCCTTCTTAAAACTGGAGAGTATTTGAGTGGGTAAGTGTTGAACAGGAAAGGTGCTGATGAAAGTGGGAGACTCAGAATACCAAAGGCAGGATAAATTTAAATGTAGAGTTGAATATATTTCCTAATTTATACAGGGCCAAAGGGGGTAGAGGATGCCTTGGTAATTCAAATACCATTAAAGTTATGTTGATGCTTTATTTTGGAGCATCTCAAATCTGAAAAAGGTTGCCTGGAGCTTTTCTTACTAACAAGCACCAAACAGACCCCAAATTTAGAGTCAGCAAGAGTCTACCTAAACCTAGAAATGCTGACTGCTCTTCAGGCCTGTATTTAATGTCACGATTGAGGTGCTGAGTATTTCCAAGCT